ACAGGGTCATGTCTTTCATGTGCTGAGACAGGAGCAAAGCAGAGGGGTAGAATTACTTCTCTTGAGGAGAAGTGCTGGCCACACTTCCTTTGATGCAGCCCAGAACACAGCTGGCGTGCTGAATTGTGAGCTCACATTGCCAGCGCATGTCCAGCTTCTCATCCACCAGTACCCCCATGTCCTTCCTTGCAGGGCTGCTCTCAACCCCTTCATCCCTCAATCTGTATTGATACTGGGGATTGTCCTGACCCAGGTACAGAGTCATACATGCATTTTTTGAGACAGCAATACAAGAACAAATAGTTGTATGACCTCTGTCTTCAGCATTTATGTAAGCTACTCTATTTATTGGCAGTAGTTCAGGTTTTTGGAGGTATGGGTCAAAGAAAGCAAGCTAGTGAATCCTCCAGGCATTTATTTAAAAGGTACCACCATATTGCTGACCCTCTTGGCTCTAAAATGTGCCAGACTCCAGCAGACACAAAGGGAAATGAGTTTTAATCAAGCAAGCCCAATATTATTATAACAGCACTGAACTCCATTTGCTATAGACGTCAGTTCTGGGAGTGGAAAATTCCACTGTAGCATGCAGCTTACAAAGAGAAGGTATGTGCCCTTCAGTCAAGGTGACTTCACTTGACTACATCTAAGCAGAAAAAAAAGTATTTTGGAGAATTTGAACAATATTCCATAGAGGCAAGGGAACAAAGTCATTCTAGGAGTCTCTCTGGTAGTTAAACTCTTCAGACTTGCAGAAGAACAATGACCTGTCAGACTTCTGTAAGTTGGTAAAAGTTTTGTTCCTCCTACCTTCAGTCTAGCTCCCTGTGAGCCAATTTTGTTCCTGCATTTTAGTCTGCTCTCTAAGTAGTGTCCCTCCCTCCTTATGCCTTAAGGGAGACTTCAGGTCTTTGTCTGAGCTTCCTGCAGAAACCACCAGCATTCCACTGGAGTCTGGAGACTTATCCTTCATATTGTACAAGATTCTCCAGGACTTTCAACAGTATTTCTCTTTGTCTCAGTTGTACTTGGGGAAACGCTCCACTGAATATTTACTGGGGACATTTTCTTTCATTTCTGGATGTTTCCATGTCTTACAACTGTTAAAAGAAAATAAAGGCTTCAGTTCAAAAATCTTCAAAAAAAGAAGTCTGTGGAAAGAGAGAAGCCTTAATAAATACACCAACAGGGACCTACCACCCAAGCAACGCAGGAAATGGACATGTTTTGCCTGCTTACCAGGATATGGGCAAACTGCTGTCTCGGCAACACGCACAAGAGCAGACTTTGCTTGTTCTAGCACAAGGGAACCTCAAAGGAGGAGTCCAGGAGAACTAGTGATTCTGCAGGATCACCTCCTTTAAGCTCAAGAACTGTCCATCCTGATGTGAAGGAAGTCAAGGAAATGTGGCAGGAGGCCTGCATGAGTGAACAAGGAGCTCCTGGTAAAACTCAGATGCAGAAAGGAAACGTAAGACAGTTGGAAGCAAAGTCAGCTGACCCAGTGCAGGGGCTGTGTAGAGAATATAGAGGCACTGTCTGAGCATGCAGGCACAGAGTTAGGAAAGCAAAAGCCCGCCAGGAGCCAAGACTAGCACGGCACTTAAAGGGCATCAAGGAGGCTTCATTAAGTTAATTAATTATCACCAAAAGGCAAGCTAGGGTTGCTGAATGGGACATGGAAAAGCCTGAGTTACTTATTGCTTACTCCACTTTGGTCCTTGTGGTAAAATCTGCATGCAGTAATCCAAGGCCTCTGCCACCAGAGAGAAAACCTACAGCAAGAAGCATTTACTTTCAGTGGATAAATATCACTTTCAGTGGAGGTTAGGAGAACATTTAAACAAATTGGACATTCAAAAGTCCAAGGGACTTCATGGGATATATCTACAAGCACTGAGCAAGCTGGCCAATGGCAGTGTCAGACCACTGTCAATTATCTCTGAAAGATAATGGTGGCTGGGGGAAGTTCCTGAGGACTGGAAGAAAACAAATATCACAACTAATTTGAAGGAGGAGGATCCAGAGAACTACAGGCCAGTCAGCCTCATTTCAATCCCTGAGACAGTGATGGAGAAAAAAAAAGTTGAAACCATTTGCAAACATCTGAAGGGCAAGAAGGTGTTATCCTTGTGGATTTACAAAGGGGAAATCATGCTTAACCAACCTGATAGCCTTCTACAATAATTGAGGTTCATCCCAGTGGATGAGAGGAGAGTAGTCATTGTTTTTTATCTTGACTTTAGCAAGATTTTTGACACTGTCGAAATGAATGAAGAGAGGTGGATTCAAACTGACTGAACCACCAAGCTTAAAGCATTGTGATCAGATGTATGAATTCTAGCTGAAGGTCCATCACTAATGGTGTACCCCAAGGGGTCAGTACTGGGGCCAGCATTGTTTAACATCATTAATGACCTGGATAATGGGGCAGAGTACACTTTCAGCAAGTTTGCAGATGACAGAAAAGTGGAAGGAGTGGTAGGTATACCAGATGGTTGTGCTGCCCTTCAGAGGGACCTTGACAGGCTAGAGAAATGGGTTGGCAGGTATTTCATAAAGTGTGACAAAGGGAAATGCCAAGTCCTGCACCACAGGAGGAACAACCCTACACACCAGTACAGGCTGGGGGCCAGACAGCTGGAAGGCAGTGTTCTTGCAAAGGATCGCAGAGTCCTGGTGGACACCAAGATGAACGTGAGCCCCCTGTGTGTGCCCTTGCATCAGCAAAAGTCAGCAGCCTCTTGGGCTGCATTAGGAAGAGCATTGCCAGCAGGCTGAGGGAGGTCAGTTACACTCTACTCGGCACTGGTGAGAGATCTGGAGTGCCGTGTCCAGTCCTGGGCTGCCTGGGACTAGTGAGACACGGGCATAGTGGAGCAAGCCCAGCCAAGGCCCACAACAACGATTAAGGGCTTGGAGCATCTGATATACAAGGTGAGACTGAGTGAGATGGGACCACTGAGTCTGGAGAAAAGAAGGCTCTGGAAGGATCTTATCACTGTATGTAAATGTCTTATAGGAGGGAGTAAAGAAGCCAGAGCCAGACTCTTCTCAATGATATCCAGTAACAGGACAGAAGGGAAGAAGCACAAAATGAAATACAGGAAATTCCATGTAAACATAAGAAAAAAAACCTTTTAGTGTGAGGGTGGTCAAACACTGGAATAGATTGCTTCAGGAGTTTGTGGAGTCTCCATTCTTGGACATATTCAGAATCCAACTGGATATGGCTCTGACCATATTGCTGTAGTTGACCCTGCTCTGAGTATCTGGTTGGAGCAGACAATCTTCAGGGGTGCCTTTCCAACCTCACCAATTCTGTGAAAACTTTTTAGTTGGGCCATGGTCATCCAGCTGCATCCAAGTTGGCTCCCAGGTTTAGTTTATGCTTGTTTCAGGTCATTTTCACAAGCAAATTTTCCTCCATCAGTGAAGGCGAGAAACTAGCCCAGATTGTCATGGGGTCTTCATAGCTCAGTCTGTGCTCCACAAAACAGCTGAAAGGGAAGAAGCAATTCTTCTGAGTGTTTATGCACTTGATACAACAGGAAATTCCAGAGAAAAACACCACCTAATGTGGATAAAAAGATGTTGAGTAATCACATAGGAACCAAGTCTTGTCAATGGAGGAGAACTCATAAAGGTGCAAGAAGTAGAAGGAAGGAGAAAGAGGGTTGCAGAAGCGGAGTCAGGAAGAGAGAGCGATGCTCCAAATACAGTGGACAATAAGAAGCTGGTGCCAAAATGAAAGACTGCTTTACTTACAAGGCTTTGTCTCTCCATAAAGTAGTAGTCAAATACTTTGTCGAATTCTGGTCATCATATTTCATAAATACTCCAAGTTCTATATCAATGATGCCAAGAGCTCAGCAGGATTCAAAATAGTGTGTGGAAAATATTTATATCCGCTGTAGTAAAAGTCGCAGCCATTAAAATTCTTTCAAAGGACATGCACCTTCCCATGTCAGCATTCATGCCAGTTCCTGACAAATTTAGGCAGATACTTTTCCAGTGGACATACCAACACTTAACCATCATTTCAAAGCAGTGTGCACAGAGTGGGAGATTGTCCAGGTCAGAAGAGCACAGTGAGACACACAACTGGTCAGATGTAGCATGTCAGTGCCTGCCTGGCTTCCAGGTGAGATGAACGCACCAACTAGAAGTCAAAGTATGAGCTGTATGTTGTAACAATTTTTAATCATTCTGAACCAGGGAAGGTAGTGCCTGATATAATCTAATAATATTTTATAAATGCAAGCAACTATAAGTGAAATACAGAGAACTGACAGACAGATACATTTTGTTTTGCCTGCACATCTTTGGATTTGCTGAAGTGCTTAATGAGACCTATATAAATATTTTACTAGACAGCCAATTAAACAATGACTGGTATAGGTTCCTACTGCAGTTGCATGATGTAGTGAAAAAGCAAAGTGAGTTGTTCTGGGTTTTCTGAGCTCTACAGTGATAGGAAATCAATTAGGTGAAGTGCAAAGATGTTCCTATTGTTGCTCCTATTCTTGATGTTTGATGGGAAGGCACAGCCATTCCTTTGATGCCATCAGAGACCTCTACCAGCCTGGTCTCAACATAGGCCTGGAAATCCTCTCAAGACACCCACATTTGTTGCTGGGCTTGGTGAGCAGAGGCAAGGTTTTAAAACACAGACAGCCCATAAACCTCCTCCTGCTTCAAACTCACTGTTCTCCTGTGTCAGAGAGAAATATGAGAAACAACTGTATGTGTCTTTCTGCATGTCTAACTCTGCTTCTCCATCTGAGTATGCTCTCTTCCTGTTTCAGCATCATGCTGTATTATGTGTTTGTCCTGTGGACACATACAGGTCCCAGGGTTGCTGTACTCTTTACCAAAAGAAACCATCTTTGCCTTAGGAAATCAGTGCTCTGTACTTTTTCTCAGCTTATTTTGCATAATGCTTTTTGGTATAAACGTGGTTTTTAATACTTTCATTTTTTATATCATTTCAGAGAAAGAATGAATTCTATGCTCTTTCTTCCCATGTGTCCTTCGAAGTTAAAAGCATGCCATATAAAGTACAGCCAGCAAAGCTCCCCAAGGGAAGCATAGCAGTGAGTAACTGAAAATTAGATCTTTGTGTGAAGCACATGTATTGGGTCATTCTGATCACAGCTGGGAAAGTTTTTAAAGATTAAAATATTGAGATCAGTCTTTCCTGTGTTTCTAGTGTAAATTCCTGAAATAATACCTAAAGGAAATGCTTTTATTGCTTTCTGTGGAAATTGCTGATATGTAATACATGATTTCATTTTTAAATTATTTCTTGCTACATTAATGTGCAGAGTGCTTTATTGCAATCAGGATGGATTTTTTCACTCAGAAGAAAACCATAAAACTGTGAAAGCAAGTGTCCAATAACCTTGTTTGGGGTAAAAAAAAAAAAAAATCTGGAGGAAATTCTTGTGAAAAATCCAAAATCTTGTTTCTGTCAGGTTTAGAGGTCTCACTGTTCTTCCAGTCAGCAGGTCTCTCACACAAGCTTCTGGATTATCTATGGCAACTCCTTTCTTACTTGTATTAAGCCTCTTTGATACCTTTATTTTCAAAGAGATCTGCATGCCACTCTAAAGTTTCCAACTCACAGCCCATAAGGTACAAGATATGAAATTACCAGATAATTGCCACAGTTGTGATAGAGAGATACTAAAGTACTTGCCTTATTTGCAGAGCAAGATTTGTATGGCCCTGGAATATTATATGAAAAACTAACCTTGGAGGCATAAATTTTATGTAATTGTTTGCTGATGCCAAAGCATTAAGTTTGGGGAGCAATTTAAAGGAATTTGCTTCTTGTGGTATCTGATACCATGGTTAAAATTCACTCTATTTTGTCATTGCTCATAGAAAAAAGTAAAATTTGCAAAATTTTACGCTCCTTCTAAAGTGTAAACTCAGTACAATGTTTTCCAAATTAAATCATGGTACAAATACATCATATTGGTCTGATGAGATGGCGTAGTAGGGAGCAGAATATTTTCTTATCACCATAATAATACACTTTTCAGCTTCCTTTGAATATGTTTTAGAGAGTACCAGCTGTAAAGTTTTGTTTTTTGAACAAGCACAGATTGAGTGTTGATTGATAGCTTCTCTGGGAAGACACAAGGTGAAACCTTGGTCCTGTATGCTCAGTGATCAACCTCTGACATCAGGAGAACCATGATTTCACCAGAGAGATCTCTTGCCTAACGCAGTATCTATCCAGAAGGGTTCAAAGGCTCCAAGCCAACAGATAAGACTCAGGCTCTTTTTGTTTTCTTGCAGCATGTGTTCCATACCAGAAACACATGTTCTGCAGAACTCTGGTGATAGTGGTGCCTTCATCTGCACTGAAGTGCTTTATCCCAGGTGATAGCCTGCTGTACTCAAAAAGTGTCAGACGATCTACCAAACTGATCAGATAAGCATTTTATTGTCTTACTCCAGCCAGTATAATGCCTGTTATTTGCTGCAGATGATTTACAGCAAAATGCCTGTAATGGCAACTGTAAAATGTTGAAAAATGATAGCGCTTTTATGTCGTTTCATATCTGGACATGGCAGTGGATGCTTGCCAGCTCTACAGCCTGATGTGTTATGTGCACAGGCTCTTTTGATGTTCCACTTGTAAGAAGAAATATTTGCTTGAAGTTGGGCAATGCTTAATATTTTTGCTCCTTCTGAAAAGGATCACTGGTTGTGTTTTAAAAGTTTCCAAAGATTTATTTGGAAGTTTATGGCTTTTTTTATTTCAGACAGTGCAAGGGTGGAAGTGGAATACAGATCTTAATATTTTTAAATTAATTTTCAAAAGTATATGTATCTAATAATCAGCTAACACTTTACAGTTTATATAATGAAGATAATATATTCTAAAAGAATAGAGCATATGTCCTTAATTTAACTCATACAGTGTCAGGTTCCAATTATGCAGGCTGATATGTATATTTAATTTTAATGGCATGAATAATCCCATACACATCAGTAACCTATGTAGTCATAATTGCAGCAGTTAGCTCTTTACTCACATCATCATGGAATATAGGTCTGTATATTGACAGAGAGTCACGATACCTAGGTGTGTAAAGGTAAGAAAATGTGAATTTTTCATACCAAAACATTAGAGTGAAAATGGCATCAAATAGCTTGGAATTTAGTGGAGCTTAAAATCCACTGATCAATAAAAGTATTCCTACTAATTTTGATAGGCTTGCAGTTACAACTATATATTGTACAACTGCTTGATTTTACATCCTAACATTCGAGAAAAAACTGTCTTTTTTTCTTAAAGATATTATTATGGTAAATAATACTACCTTATTTGATTCACTTCTTGTGTAAGTTGAAAGTGCTTTTTATTATAAAAAGTACAGAGTTAGATCAACTAGTACTTTGTTCCATTTTAATTTATGATTCTTGAGCCACTTTTGGAGTTTAATAAAAAAATTATTGATTTTCTTGACATGTGATGGGTCTTCAGAGGGGATTTCTTTAGTCGAATCTGTTTGACCAGTGTCCTACAGCGAGTAAAACTGGTTTCAGAGTAAGGCTTATATCTTTTTTTTTTAGCAACTATACAGTGATAATACTTGCATTTTAAGTATGCTTATATTCCTTATGAAATATATTTGCACATTTTTAAACTGTTACCATAAATGTCAATACTACTTATGACTCCAAGCTCAAGAGAGGTTTTACATTTTATTTTGAGCATTTTTTCAGAGTATACAAGAACATCATGCTGCAAAGGTTAGATGGAACATGTAGGACTACTAAAGAGTTCCTGTTCCCCAGTTTCTGTAAGCAAAATTACTAAACTTTTGAGGAAGATTTTCATGGGCTCTAAAAGTGGTAGCATTAGAATGATAATGAATTTAGCTACCGTTTCTTAAAGTAGCAGATTAAATCATGGAGAAGTTATTTTTATTTTATTAAAGTGTGTCTTTTAAAGGACACGAGGGAAAAAAAAAGAGCTTTGTGAACATACCACCAGCAGGCACTGAGTTCTGACCATAGATGCTGGATAATTGCACTAGTAAAGCCTAATTCAAATCTGTCCAAAAGGGACTGCTGATGAACTGGCTGCTTAATACATATGGCCCTCTCTGCATTATGCTACCTTCCAGTGGAATCAAAGAGAATTTTAAAGCTACACTGAGCAGCATCAAAATCAGGAGCAAAACCCAAGATATGCAAACCCACTAATATTCTTATATACTTACAGTGTGCTTAACTGTGGCACATATTAAAAAAAAAAAAAGGAAAATAAAAACCCACCCATAGAAGTACTTTCATGAGCAACAAGGGACTTATGGAACAACAACAGTGATTCCGAAGTTAAGACTATCAGCCAGCACTTGTGCTGAGACTAGCTTGAATTTCATTTCCAATAGCTGACAAAGGCTCTGTCTGTAACTCTCTGGTTGGCTTCAAGCACCTCATCTCGGTGCTTGAGCCAGGTGGCAATCCTTCTCACCCCTGTGCATACAAAACATGTGAGACCTTCAGCAGAGCAAAAGGCTAAAAGTCAGAAGGCTCCTCTCAAATCTCTTGAAGTGTGCTTTTCACTAGCCTGACAGGGAAGCAGCTACTGATGTCACTGTTCAGTACCAGGAAATCTTCCTAGTCCTGAAGAGAAAGGAACACCAACATGCATCTAAAGTACAGTGCCAACATGTAACACTTGTGTAAAAATTCCATTCCCTCATATTTGCCACCTTAGATAAAACCAGATAAATCCACCCCCAAACATTCCCTGGCTCTGATCCTGCAGTACTAAACCTACCACATGGAGAAGAACAAAATTCCAAGCTCAGTAATGCAAACTTTTCTTAAATCAAAATCACATGTAAAACTGTTGTGGACAGCATTGGGCAGAGGAGGGACAGTCTTCTGTGGAAATGGTGAAATGATGCAGGCAGAACTGAAGGATGCTTTGATTATTTCTTCCCCTCCAGGTTCTGCTTCAGCTCTGTGAGTCTTCAAGACTTGCAGTGTCCAACTGTTCAGTAGAAATTGCATTAGTAGCCTTGCAAGCCTTTATAAAGAGTACAAAAGGAGGTGGCCTAGGGGCATCATATTCTCCTGTAATGCACACAGACAGGAGTGAGACTGATGACTACATACAATCCCCTGCTCAGGATATAAATCTCAAGCACTTAGCACAAACTTTCCATTGCTTCAAAAACCTAAAACGAAGGATTCATGGGAAGACGGTGTGAGTGACAGTGTGATGGTTTTAAGATTTAAGCAGGCAACTCTTTCATTAGCCCTTGGCCTTACTTCCGCTAGAAGACAGATGTGGCAGCTTTGCAGCAGCATTCTGCTTGATACAGGATAGACCTGAATTCTGCTGTTTTACTCATTGCTGATAATCTAAGGATTACAAACATGGTGCTCTGCACTTCTGTAAGATTACAGTTTCTTTGTATTTCAACATTTGTCAGGCTCCAGCTGAGCTACTGAAATTGCACTGGAAGTTGCACTGCACTGTCTGTAAAGGCAGAAGGACAGAGGGAGAGAGGATTACAAACCCATGCAGGGTGAGCAAGGCTGAGCAGTGCTACACCAGTCATAATTAGTTACAGGGTGTCCTCAGGGAGACCCAGATATCCTTATTTGGATCCATACGGATAGGTGCTCTATAGATATCACAAGAACTAGGTTGCCTTGTTTTTACAGGCTAAGAGGAAAGAAAACACAATGTGCAAATGCAGCAAACATCTAGGAGGTGGTGCATAAAAGAAGACATGGAATGACTACATAGGTCTTACTTTGTATTTGCATACACTACCGTCAGCTTTATCAATAGCCTAATGAAATCCATCGTCCCTAGTGAAATTCAGAAGGATCTTAGACATGCTTTGAGGTCTGGATTGACCCTACCTAATTTTGATCTCCAAGATGGAGCACATTAATTAAAAGTGTAGTTGCTGTGCTCCTGTGCAGTCAGTAGGCAGCCCTATGAGCTCTTCAGGACCTAGACAACAGCAGCTCAGTTCCCCTCTGTCTGGATCACCTATGGTGCTGAAGTAGTTGTCTTAGATTGGATGAAAGTGGACTTGGTGCCCTAAGGTACTATCTTAAGAAATCTGTAAACAAAAATTCCTTCCTACAGAAGTAATTGCCCACTCTGATAATTTCCATATCCAGAGCTGGCTCGCAGCTCACCAAAATCTTTTTGTTCTGTTTTGCTGATGTTTTAGAGTCCAGCCCAAAGCAATAATGCTGACTCAGTTTCCTTTTGCATTTATGTCGTTCACATAATGTCACCTAGGAAGTTGAGTCAAACTATCAATACCAGAAATGGCTAAATCAATTTTTTTGCAAGCAAATGGCTCTTCCCTCACTTTTTATCTTATTGTAAAATAAAGTCAGTAATTTTGTCACGCTTGAGAGGACAGAAAGCGCTGCTCGGGTTTGCTTTTTGCTGTTGTTTACAAGTATTTGTTAAAGTGATCGGAAAGTGGTCTGTCACTTTACTGCTCCAGCTCCCCAGCAACATGGTTAGACAAGTGATAGTGATGGGACAGAAACTGTTGTGAAGTTCAAACCTTTCATAGGTAAGGTACCTTCGCTGTATGTTGATAATGTCAGATCCTTTTCAAACAGTAACTAAAAAATGGTATCTTCTTGCATGTGGTACAACGGTTAGCCAACAGAGGAAGTGCACAGTGTGGATGAGTTGGCCTTTTTTAAACAATCTGATTTTTGCTGTCCTGGGGCCCACTGAATTATCATCAGCACTTCTCAGGTCTTGTGCTATATGTCATCCTGTCTTCAAGGCTTGCCTCAGGGCAGCATTCATGAGGATTCTCAAGTAGTAGAAGGGAGATGCTTTCTTCTGTGGCAGCTGAGCTCATTACTTGCTGCAGGCTTCATTCAGCCCATCATGACTGTATCCCTTCTGATTTCCGTGGCCAGATGAGCCTTGTACTTGCATTCATCTTTTTCCTTAACTGGCTTTCCTCTGGGAGAAATCTCTGCAAACAGTTCAAATGACCTTTTTGTCATTTTCTCTGACCTTAAATTTTAATGCCAGATACAGTACCACTCTGAGACACAAGGAGAGCCATTCAGAAACATTCTGTCCATATTAAATGAGCGCTACTATTGCTGAACTTAATGATACAGACAGCCTATGGAGTTCGGCAGTGGTTAAGCAGCAACCCAAAGAGGAGGCTGGGGAAGGGAATGGTATCCCTGCAGTGGCATAGTTGATCACTTGATCACATCAGCAAGATATCTCTTGGGACCCAGGGGTAGGATTTCATAGTTTTTTTTACTAATTTTCTTTGCCTTGAATATTTTTATCTTAATTTAATTGGCTAACGTGTTTATTCTTTGTATACGCTATCTTTCTGAAGTCTTTTGGAGTATGCAGCTGCACCAGAGAAGTATATTAGCTGAATGTGTTTGTCACATCAGTGGTGGTATAGCCAACACTGCAAATACTTAATCTTTTGGTTACAGTTCAATGTTAAAGTGCTAGCCCCAGAAGGACTGGGCAGTGTCTTGGAATTTTCTGTGTAAGCTTTGGTAGAAGTCAAGTGGTATTCCACATAGAAAGTTTGTCCCTAATTTTATTTATGTTCTGTGTCCCATAACAGTGAGAGATAATACAAAAAAAAATCTGTGCATAAGTAGAACTCACCAGACTGCCATCTCTCCAAGCACTATGTCAGAGTAGGGTACAAAATGGACTATTCCAAAGTGTCTTCCAGTTAACCATGACGGTAGCTGGGAGGCAGATCTGCTGGTCCTTGCAAAATGAAAGGTCTAGGAAAGAATGCTGATCATGAGAAAGAGTTAGAGAGAAAAGGGTTACATATTGCAGAAAGGCTGAAATTTGCCATCTTCAAGGAGAAAAGTGGGAGGCACAGAAATTTAATTAATTTTGAACTGGACTACAGATTTGTAGCCGGTTTTCAAACTTAGGATGCTGTTCCATTAATGAACAAATTAGCATTGTGCTAAAATTAAGGGGCCCCAGCCAGTGAGTAAATAGCAAAAAGCCAAGCAGAAAGAGAATTTGCAATGAGCGCAGATCAGGAAATCGGCAATAGCCAAGAAGCTTACTAAGAAGAGTAGATTTCCTAGCTGTACCCTTTCCTAGCACTGAAGAAGAATATCACTTTAGGGTTTGTGTAATCAGTTTGCTTTTCAGACCAGTTTCATACTGTCATGAAGAAAATAACTTTCATCTGTCACATACTTGCCCCATTAAGGGAGACTAGGAGTAAACAAGAGAGGTCCAACAGAAAACCCCAGGGAGAAATAACTTCCTAGGCTAACAATAAAGAGGAAAGTTTGACAAAATAAACCAGAACTGAAGGGATGTGAGTGTTGCTGAGGAGCTAAGGAAAGCTCAAACTCATTCCTTCCCACTTGTGAGCAGCAGGGAGAGAGCAAATATTTAGTGAGATTGACAAGGAGCCTTCCACGCAGAGTCTGAGAGTGTAGGAGAAATCTGGTACAAGGTATAGCAGGGAGAGTGAGGAAAAGGTTATTTATGTGGATGGCTCCAGAAGAAATACAGAAGGGTTACTTTTTGTCAAGATGAATGTCTGAAGAGAGGAGTTTGCCAAGCCAGTTGAAACCCTTGATAGCTCATGTTAGCCACACCTGCTGCTTTCTAGAGGCTCAGGCACAGAAAGAGAGCGCTTGGTGCTCGTCTGCCCTGTAGGGAGTGGTCCAAACGCTCAGCTTCTCCCACGGCCTCTTAGCACAGGGGCAATCCACTCTGCTTCGCTTCTGGGGTAGGACTGCTCAGCTGAAGCTCAAGTCATAGGGAAAAATGTATACTGCTGCATCAGCAGAAAATAAAATAAGAATAATGTAGCCGGTATCTATTGTGGTTTGAATTACAAGTTTGGGCTGAAGTCAACCACTGTTTCAGAGTAATTCATCATAAGTCAGTTATACTGGCCTAGGCAGTACCAGCCTACATAGGAGTAGAACTTTGCTCCTTGACCCTTCCTGAAGCATCTGTACAGAAGGGTATTTTTTGCTACCCTGTGTTACGTGAAAATGTTTCGTATGTCTGATGCAACAAGAAATTTGTATATGTGCAAATCCCATTTCTAGTGATTATCATGAACAAGTGGAAAGGAACTCTCAATAAATGAAGCCAACATGGGAGAATTCCAAGTAATGTGGATTTCTTATCTGCAAAATACTGTTGAAGTGAATGCATATAATCTCTGTTATTTACTGTCAGATTTGCATTACTTACTTCATTTTTATTCATTTAATGTATCGTTCTCATTTCAGATCCGAACATCTGTCATTTGGTCCACTCCAAATGTCTCCTTTGTAATCCCTTTATGGGTTATAATACTAGCAATACTTCTTGGACTACTGGTACTAGCTATGTTGACCCTTGCTTTATGGAAGGTATGCTGCATTACTACTGTTATTGTTGCCTTATTATTTATTATTATTTTAAAAACCTTGAAAGCTACTAGAAGATACTAACAGGTAAGAAAAAGAGAGGCTGGAATGTTGTGATCTTCAACAGTTTGAAGCAAAAGCAATAATACACGTTACTTTTTTGTTTTGGCATTTCTGTCATGCTAGTCAGGTCACTGACCTTTATGCAGAGAACTTGTTTTCAGAGTCATCCTTTATTATTAAAGTCTGACTCTGAATGGGCATAGAGAGTTTGGCTCTGTTTCCCAAGACCTGTGATCTTCTTTTTCAGGATGTTTAGGTTCAAAAAGAAGTGACTTTAACTTTGTTTTCTCTGAATACTTCAGGAATTTCCAGTTTTTGTCAGCATATAACAACACTTGTAGCTTTGAGACTTACTTTTTGGAATATTTCCTTTTATATTAGTATGTCATATCTTCAGTTTTTAAAGTTTTCTAGTTCTCTGTTGGTAGTTACACTCTCTTGACAAGTTTTAAGACCAGTGACTGGAAACTGCTATATTACAGGGAGCCTACTTTGCTTTTGGCCATCCTCTCAGTTTCCATTATAATAAAATTAATATAATTTCTTAAGTTAGCATATGGCTCATCTGCCTTTAGCTACCTGAAGGTTGTGGGTTAGGTGTCCAGCCTATTCTAACTTCGCATATTCACCTAAAGCAAAAAGCTATGTCTAAAACATGGGAGGATGAGAGGAATTACCTTTTGTTGGTACTCTCTTTTGATCTCTTGTGAAGCCTACGGAACTTTCAACCTTTGGACCAAAAGGGTAACTTTCAGGCAGCTAAACGTTAGGTCACAACACTGTCCTGTGCACATTTCCCAACACATGTTCCACCTCTGTTACTGTTACTAATTTGGAACCAAATGCCTTGCACCTAAAACTTTCATTTTTCATAGGGAACAATTTCAACAGAAATAAAATCTGCATGAGAGCTTCTATGTTTCACAACCTTCTATGGCTATCTGTATCTGACCTTTTGGGTTGACTGAGTGAAGAATCAAATGGCAGCTGAGTCTTCCTGTGGTTGTCTTACACCATTGTTTCTGTTGATTGTTTCCTGCAGTGTGGCTTCTTTGACAGAGCTAGACCTCCTCAAAATGACATGGCTGACAGGGAACAACTGACAAATAACAAGAATACTGATGCATAGAGGAAGAGAATGACAGTTGAAGACAGAATCCTGCCTGAGACTAGAATCACAATGAGGATTAAATGAAGGATTCCTTCCACTAGTCTTCGTCTGTACCTGCAAGTGACATGGTGTCATATTCTGATCTATGCAATGTTCTGAGAACGTGCCACATGATGGCCATCCTTACCAAAGAAAGCAGCTTTACCACTGCCTTACAAACATACTCACCACTGAACAGAATGTTTATCCCATATTCCAGTCCACGTTCCAGCAGGCACTTTTGAACATATGTGGTACACTGAGATGCTTCCAGAACAAGCCCAAATCTCCCAAGGAGAGAACACCTGCATTGCTGTATTGTCTAGAAGATGAACCAGAACGAAACTTCTAAACACTACTGTATCACACGGAATACCTTTGACACCTCCCTAAAAACAAGAACTGTTACAAAATTATGGCTCAGGGAGACAAGCAATATATAGGTACTGTGAAAGTACTTCTGAAAAACAAAGGTAGTCTATAAAGAACTTTATAGATGGGGCACAATTATTTATTTTTCCACTTTTTTCAGTATAAGTATCTGATATAACCATCAACTTAGATTTTGAGAGGAGAAAGTGAAAAAATAGAAATCATGTACTTACCTTGCTTGTAAATAAATGTGAACCCATTGTAGTCACAAAACACATCTCTCTTGGCCCCAGGGTGTTTTGCAAAGCAGAAGATCTATGCAGCATTTGGCAAGATGAGACATATGATAAATAAGTACATGCTGTATCTCTTTCAACCTGGAGCTGGCAAGTATCACACCCAGATAACTAAATCTTCCAGTATAGAACAGGGGATGGGTTACCCTCTCCTCACATTGCTGATGGCTGACACCCATGCAGCTGACAGGATACAGTCTTGTGTCAGCCACTGATTTAAGTTACTACAGCCACATTACTGGTAGCAACAGGGCTTGGGGGTTTGGGGCTAAGGTAGAATTTCTTTGCCATTGCTGTGTTACTTTGTTGAAACAGCCCCTTAAAAAGGAATGGCTACAGCCATTGTGTCTTCTGTTTAATTTGTGTTATAGACCCTAACACTGTTCACCTAAAGAAACCTTTGCTTTTTTTTTTTTTTTTTTTTTGTTTTGCAGTCTACAAGCTGGCAGCATATTTAGTGTGAATTTCAGCAAAGTTTAGGGCTGAATGTAATGATTCCTTAAGCAAAGTCTTGCAGAGAAGGTGGGCAAGATTTGTGTTTATGCAGAAAAACAGGATGCCAGCCGGCCAAGCACAAACAAAAAGAAGGATAGATACTTTGAGGTAAAGAGTAAAAATATACATTTAGGATTTTTTTTTTTTTTTTGGGTTGAGGATTCTGCAGAAGAGAGGTTTCATCAGCAGCAAATGACCATTATCTAAGCAGGAGATCTCTAAGCCCAGATCTGTGCAAATTTGTGCCTGAAAACTGAGTCTTCCAGTGCTGCCTCTGAGTGTGAAATTAGCTATAGTCTAAACTTCAGGAGGAGTTGTTCATTTTCTGAAACATACACCGTATTCTCCTTCTCCTGAGCTCCTTTTCTTTCCAATCCAGTTCAGCTTCTTAATCAGCAAATGGCCTCATCCGCTCTGCCACTTCTTGGCTCCTTTTAAATAACTGTTCTTCTGCTGCCTAAGACTTTGGGACAGGGTCAGCCTGACAAGAGATTTACTATTTCTTGCATGCAGGCTGACCTGTGAAATCCAAGCAGGAGCTAGGAAACCTGAGCTAGTGTGGTTCATCTCCAAATCTAAAGCAACTGTGCAAAAAGACCTTTATGGAGTCTTTAGCTTATCAGATGCAGTGTGCCTGTGATACTTAATGAGAGGAGAGACATACCTCAGGAGATGGAGGTGTTTCACCTCTGTTTTATGAGGATGGGGAAGCCTGACCACTTCCCAGTCCCGCAGAAAACCATTAAAAGACCCTTTCCCCAAAATGGGCTTCAGCTGACCGCTTGTAGATTATAGAGATCAGCTGATAAATGCCATCACAAAGCAAGCCTGACACATATTTGCACACCTCTGTATCCCATACATTCCAGGCAAAGTCATCATCTGATGGAAATACAGTGAGCTTCTGGCTTTTGTAAATAGTGAATTGTTGTGTGTAGCAGCTTCTGAAATAAGATCAGCTAGCTCATTGCAGTCACATCAGCTGCACAACTCTTACTCTGATGAAATAGCACCATAAGGAGATACTGAACATAGGACTTCTGTATGTGCAATACTTCATTACTTATATACCTGAAGCATGTTTACACTGGCATTTGTTGTTGTTTTTTAAACTTTTTAATATACTGTTTAATTATTACAATAAAGAAAAGGATAACAGAAAACAAAACAAAATACAGCTCTATTCGGTATTTCTTGCAATGTGTTTTCTATCCTTCCTTTCTCTTGAGGATGGGACTAAGTGACCTAATGAGTTCTTCAAGTTGTAACATCTATAGTTCACTTTTGAGCAGTTACTCTCCATTTTAATGATGGGCAAAACATGTTCAGATACTAAATATAAACCAAAAAGAACCTCAGTGACTGCTGGGCCTGGCTGTAAGCCATTGGCTGCAGCTGCATAATGTCACTGGAAACCAAATTTGAGGCACATGATCTGACAAATGGTTACTTTGAGCAATACTTTGTTTTATATTTCTACATCCTTGTAGATTAAACTTCCCCCATGGAAATGTCTGGAGCCGTGTGCTGTCAAGGTCTGTAGTCTTGGGTCCCAGCGTTTCTGGATAGCTTTGGCTGCAAATTGCAAACAGCTTTGCAAAGAAGATTTCTGGGTTTAAGTGCTTGCCAAGAGTGTTTATCCCCTGGGGAGATTGTATCCTGGATGTGGATGCTAGCAGGCAGTTGACATAATCTTTCCCCCAAGTATTTTAGTAATGTGCTGCATGATAACCTCTGGCACTTCCCTACAGGACTGAACTTTTGTTTTGGTGATGTCGGCCTTGCAATGAATTACTACATGCAGCTTTCTGTAAAAGTAATTCAGCCTTACACTTCCAAATGTATGCAGTGAACTGCTTATTGCTGAGAATACAGGAGCAGTTTGGAGAGCTGAAAAAACAGGAGGTTACTTTATAAATTAAAGCCTTTTAAAACTGTTTATTGCTGTGACCACCATAGCGGTCTAGTGAGAGAGATACTCATCCGTTATTTCAAATGCTTCTTGCTAAGTTTGAGAAAGACTGTCAAGTTATTTCATTCGTGCAGCAGACTTTTTTAAGAGTCTCGAGTGTCAAGTGACATTTTCTGGTTTATGAAAATTTCAGAATTTACATAACAGGGACTAGTAGCTTTGAATATGTTGCCACTTACGGATTTAATCTTTAGAGGTATTTAGCAAATACAGTTTTCATTGAACCGCTAGGTTGTTAACAAGAATTTTTCGTGTTGCCATTCTGTAACTCATGTACAATTTTTTCTGTCTTCTACTTTTTTTGCCCTGACAGCTCTTAGCGGTTTCCCACATTAGACATCTCTTGAAAACAGCACTGAATTTTCCTACCTTTTAGCTGCGATTTTTTTCATCCATTAGCAAGTTTTGTCTGGTAGGCATGGCATATATTAACTAAAAAGCATTTTAGGTACTGACAGAACACCTAGCAAATATACAGGGGACAGAAAGTCCTAACTGGCCATGACCTACAGTATTCCACTACATTGCAGCAAACTATTTTTTAATGAAATACCATCTGGCACACTGCCTTTAGGAATTGTTTATGAGTGAGTGTTTTATTTATGATTGTTGGCAAAGATCCATATTAAAATGTAGTGTAATGGTAGTGCCTCTTGACAATAAAAAGTCTTGAATTTAGCTTATGCAGGTTCAGGAATGCTTTTAATATTGAAGGACTACTCTTGTTTTGCATGTATGTTGTATTTGAGGGGCACTTAACAAGTCAAGATGCTACCCTACTGTACACAGTGATTTTTAGAAAAGAAGAAAGGAAGTAATTGTTTGGCTGACTTTTCAGATGGTTTCATTTGTTTTTAAGATGCTGCTCTACTTAACTGATGCACCACATTTCACTCAGTTGTGTATGGTTCTTTGTTTCAGTGACGGTTTGCAAAGCGGACGTCAGCAACCCCTTCCAAACCTGGGCCACGCCAGGGAGCGTTGCCTTGCCAGCAGCAAGCGCAGGGCAGCAGCAGCAGAGCACAATTCGGGATGCTACATGAAATGGTCAGCGCGTTGCAGGGGCTAGCTTACTTCTCAGTGGTTTACCCAAACTGACATTCAGTCCTATGAACAAAACATCAGCCTTGGATTCCCCGTTTCTCCTGTCAAGGAGGGCCAGGGTGTGTGCCCTGTTGTATCATGGCTGTAAAGGCCAACCACCAGGCAATCCTCACAATGGAGCTGGGGAGGGGAGCTCATATTCATACCTGTGCAAGACAAATAGACAAGCAAATCAAGTGTATGGCAAAAGTGCAAACATCTGTCTTCTGATGCTCTCCTTGTCATGAAAGTTAGTATTTTCCCAGCAAAAGCAATCTGCCCATTTATCACTAGACCAGCAGCACCAGAAAATAATCTCTAAGCTTGCAAAAAGTTTCCATGAATTTTGTATCCTTTTTAGAAAATTTACATTTCGAAATCCACGCAATAACTCTTGGCTCTTTACTGATTTGTTTGGTTGGTTGTTTTCAATAGCATTTAGGAAAAGTTAGGTCAGCGTAGCAAAAGCTAAAAAAGAAGATGTATTTCAAGTAACAGGGAAGTCTCAAAGGAGATCCAGGCTTAGATCTGCATTTATGTTTTCCATAAAAAACATGGGGTTGTTCAGCCTGGAGAAGAGAAGGCTCTAGAGAAGACCTTTTTGCAGGATTCCAGTATCTGAAGGGGGCCTACAAGAAAGCTGCGGAGGGACTTTTTACAAGGGCTTCTAGTGGTAGGATACAGGGTAATGGCTTCAAACTGCAAGAGTGTAGATTTAAATTAGAAATTAGGAAGAAATTCTTGTCTGTGAGGGTGGTGAGACATTGGAACATGTTGCCCAGGGAATCTGTGGATGCTCCATCACTGTATGTACTCAAGGTCAGGTTGGATGGGGCCTTATGTAACCTTGTCTAGTGGGAGGTGTCCCTGCCTATAGCAGGCAGGTTGGAACTAGATGATCTTTAAGATCCTATGAATATT